TACAGAACGTAGTGAATGATAACTCAATGTACCCATTAGACAGCCAATGTAACTATAATACATGTGATATGACTATAGTTAATTCTATAATTGTTGTATTACATTTTTCATCTTTTAAACTCTTATCACAAGAGCCAGAGATACAAACACCTCAGTTGTCCTTTCTCAGAAGTTTTCTCCTCACCTCCTTACATTTCTCCGAAAGACATGTTACATGATGACCTCAACAGCCTTATTTCCACACTCCAGTCACAGTCACTCAGCACTGAATGAACATATAATGTTCAGCATGCCAGTGCCCATGTCCAGAACTACACTGCTGAGTGAAATCGTATGTGCAGCTTCAGCTGACATAACTGGTTGCCATGGGCTTTGGGAAGAATCAACAATCTAAAAATTGTTCCTAGCATCTCTTTCCCAAAGAGATCTTGATGACAACTTCTAACTGTACCACTCTGCTGCAGTGTTAAGCCACAGGGGCAAAAACAACCTAACAATCTGAGCTGGGAAGCAGACCTGGGTAATCTTTGTTCTCTCACCAACCGCTCAGTTCTGAGTCTCCAGAACGGCTCTCTGTGCTTCAGGTCTCAGATTAGACGCTAACAGAGGTGGCACAGGAGCCAAATCAAGGCTTATAAAATCCGTCGGAGGGGAGAAAATCCTATGGATTCCCCTTCAGACTAACTAAGCCTATAAAATCTACATTTTAATAGCTGATTTTCTGGGGACCCCAAGATTTTTTTGCATATGCCCTTGATGGAATTAATAAGAGGAGAGAAAAACATATGCTGTAATGCCTGGGGGCAACTACAACAAAGGGAGAAACTAGTTTATTAACATAATTCCAGCCCTCAGAGCATATTGCGTGCTCTAAATACCCCAGAAAGAACATGCATTACACAATCAAATCTCTGTAGCTAACGTGCTTGTAAGACTTTAAGAGGTGGTATTTACCAACTATATGTTGGTCAAAATAGTAGCTAACATTTAGACATCGGCTTGAAAGAGAAGCATCTCTTCCACCTGCTTCTACAGGCCACAAAGATACACTGTAGTTAACATATTACTGACAGGATGATGAGAAAGCTCCTGTCAGATGCCAGGGGTGGGTGGCGGCGGGTGTTCGAGATAAAACGCACAGCCCTAGCTGACTAGTCAGAGATGGCCTGGTGAGGTGCAGTGACGGAGTGGTGTGACAGAAGGTCATGCCTGAGGGACCTGGTAGGATGTGCCTGTGCAGCCCCCCTCCCTGCCCCTGCTCACAGAGCGGAAGTCAGTCAGCTGGTGGATTCCGTAACCCCATTTACTCCTGTGCTTGAATGCACTCTGCTAGTCTGACCTAGGTTCATGTGGGGCTTACACAGCTAGGGCCTGCCTACAGCATGTATCAAATCAGTTTTCTCGATCGGCATTACCAGGAACCCTTCTGTGTTTACCTGATAACATACATACCAATAGAATAAACACAAATCTGATTATGTCCCAGTTCATTAAATTCAACCCCATAAAACACACGATAGGTCCTAACAAAATACTATACCTTTTATGGGCAAAATACCCATTAAATATTTAAAATGTAACAATACTCATGATATTTTTGTTAACACATCTCAAAACAAATTTTTTTTTATTTTAAAGTTTATCAAGATAATTACAAATTACAATTTTAGCTACAAACAGCACCTAAGGGACCTTCAAGTAGCTGAGGCCCTACCAGTGTATCAACACTAAAATCCCAGGAAGCTGTAAAGTTGACCAATATGATTCTAATAAAATTATGAATGTCAAGAGTAAATCCAAGCAAAATTCCTGAACTACAATAAAATTATGAATGCAAAGTTAACTTATATGTTCTTACAGTAAAATTTAAATTTTGGCTATATATTTAAGAAATGATAAATGGGTAAAATATAATTTCTCACAATAATATTAAGTACATTATAAACTGTATGGTATATAAAACAAAATGAGTACAATTAATATGAGAATGTAAATAACAAGAATGTAAAAAGCTTAAAAGTAAGTCAATTCACTGATACTTTATTCCTCCCTTGGATGTTTCAGAGATTTCACTAAGCACTTCCTAAAAAATAATTTATTTCTAATTTACATTATAGTAATAGTCTTTGACCTTAAATGTTACTTTGCATGGAATTTATGACAGATATATAAATATATATGAATATTCCAAGATAAAATCAAGTAAAGAATTTTTCCCCACATTGAAAGGGTAAGGAGATCATGAGAAACACTTGAATTACACTTCGTTTATCAGCCCTGCTGCCCCGGAGGGGGAACCAAAGCACAACTTGAAGGGGACAGCACAATCCAATTTTATGACACGTCATGAACAACTGGTAGTATTTTACCTCAAACATAGGAAACAACTCCCTGAATAATACAAGCCTTTATTAAAATACTTATTTTTAATTCAAATAAAGTTAAAGGGTTGGCATGTTTATTTTTACTCTAAATTGCAGAGCAAGTCTATTATAAATTTATAGCTAAGAATCACTGAATAATCATTGAGTCTTCTGCAGATACAATTCTACAGACTCCGTATATATAAATATGTATGTATAATGTGCATGTATATACACGTGTACATAAGTGTATGTGTGCATATGTGTAGATGTACATGTGTATATATACACATGCATGTGTAAACATGCATGTGTATTATACATATGTATATAGTATACATGTTTTTATATACAAACATGTGTGTATATACAGCAACCCTATGAGATTCAGACTATTACCACTCCCATTCTTCCAGTATACACATGAAGAAACTGAGTCAAAGAAAGGTTACCAGCCATTAAGTGATGTTTATAAATTACAACAAAGAGAAATACCAGTATTTTACAAAAACATATACTCAGCCTTATTTCTAATGTTTCCTGGGCAGAGCAGCTTATACCTTCAGTCACAGAGCTCCTTCCCGCACCTTCTTAGGTCTCTGCTCCAATATGACCTCACAGGGAGGGCTTCCAGGCCACCCATAAAAAACAGAAAAACCTCACCCACCTCACACCCCACACAGGCACTCACTTTATTCCTTGTGCCTTTACTCATCACATAGGACATGACGCTATGTATTCATTCACTTATCAGTTTCACCAGTCGGATGAAAGCTCCAAGACTGGCTGGACTTTGCTTTGCTTCTGCTGAATCCTTAGGACCATGGAGAGTGCCTGGCGCATGGTGAGTGCATAGGAAGTATTTGTCACGTGAACTAATCTTCATGAGAATATAGTTCCTAGGCCTCCAAGACAGTTTGTACAATCTTTTTAATCTTCAGAACAACACCCATATAGAAATACTTCATAATATTTTAACAATCAGGTTTAAAAATAAGGAGGAAGAGAAGAGGGAGGAGAAAGAGTGGTCTTACTTCAAAGATAAGTTTAAAACAGCAAGAAAGCAAACATATTTCTCGACACCACTTTGAGAAAATGCAAACCCTTCCACGTGCGCCAACGACTCCCTGCTCTCCAGCGGTGCTGCGGCTGGCCCGGGGGCAGCACAAGTCTGGACTCCGCAGATCCACTTCGATGAGGGTTTATTTCAATGAATTAGTGGAACTTTTTTGGAGATTTGCAACCACTTGAAAAAGCTTACTTTATTGTAAGAATACAGTACGTAATACATGTAACATACAAAATGTGTGTTAACCAACTGTTTATGTTATCAGTAAGGCATCTGGTCAACAGTAGGCAATCAGTGATTAAATTTGGGAGGATTCACAAGTTACATGCAAATTTCAGACTGCATGGGGCCAACACCCCTAATCCCTGTGTTGTTCAAGGGTCAACTGTACGTCATTTCTCTACACTTACTCCTTTAAAAGCACATCATGTTTTTCAATATGTATGTAAAATAATATATTTCCAATTTGGGAGAAAAGTGGGCATATTGATACTGCAATTCAAAATCTCAAAATTGTATTCTTTTCAGTTGTAGAGTAATGGAAATGACCCCTGATCACCTGTCATAGGCCACCCCGCTCTACAGCACCTGCTCCACTCAGCTTCTTGGCCTCGGTGGCCATTCGGTCTCTCAGACAAGACCTTTCTCTAAATAGACACCCTAGAGAGATCTGAACCCCCTCTACTTTAAAATACCAAAACTTTAAAGAATGAGGTTTTGATTTCCACTATAGGAGAACAAAACATAAAAATAGTGTCTTTTATCAATTAGCCAAATTTGTAAGGAAGTAAGTTCATGCAATATTAAATAACGGTGTTTAAGAATTATCTTATGTATCAGTCAAAACTGTATTAACATTTACAATTTTTGAAGTCAAAAATAATAAAATTTTAATGCTTACAGTAGAAAAAATTAGGAAATCTAGAAAAATACTTTGGAAAAATGTTCAACAACTCAAGACAACTCCTATTCTCACTGCCTTTCCCATTGTCATGAAGACCTTACAAGAGAACATTTTAGTGAGCAGCATAAAATCTGTGACTAAAAAAAGAGCTACTTGGACTTTTAAGTTATTATCAGACTGAAGAGCTCCTCCAAATCAGAACTATTATAGAATTTACTCCCAAACCACTACTTGGCAACAAGATGAATCTACCTATTACTAGGTTAGGATAGCAGCTATTATCACGGCCCCTTGGTTCCTTTCAAGTAGCTCCAATGGAAAAAAACACAAGTGAATAATAAAGATCCCATAATAGCTCTTAAGAATTCTTTATATTGTAGAACGCACTAAAATGAACTCTGGAGGGTTAAAAAGAAAAAAAAACAAAAAACACACTCTCATCTCCTGATAAGAAAAAATAATTAACCTGACTTAATGCATCTGAGGAGGTCTTCTATAAATTAGACTTTTGTACTTCAAGAGCAAGATTAAAATCATATATCAAAAAAGCATGCAGATATTGTCTTAAAAGCACACAGAACATCTCTCCATCTGCAGAGGCTGGGAGGCCTTTCTGTGAGTGCTCAACACCTGCTGCTTCAGAGGAGAAGAGAGAAGTACTCACGGCGCTCAGCTTGCTGGAGGTGACCAGGACGCGCCGCTCGTGCAGCATGCTGGCGTACAGCTGCAGCATGTTGTTCACGTCCACCGCGACGAAGTACTCCGTGAGATTTCTCTGCACAAGGGAGAGACCGTGTGAGCGACGGCTCACGGCAGCCACAGAGAACATTCTACACACTTACCAAAAGACGTAAAGCGTAAAGGATGTCATTAAAAATGGTATGCATTAAAAATAAATAAGTTTAGTCCTATTCTGCTACCACATGAAGCATGTTTAACAACCTATTATTACTATTTGAAATGTAATCCTACTCCAGGAAAACGCTTCTCAGACAGCAATCAGAGGATCACCTAGTCCCACCCTCCCTCCCCAAGTATTTATGAAGCTAATTTAATGGTCCCCAACCCAGACCTGCTGAATTGTGATCTTCAGAGTATGGCCCCAAGAATGTGTTGTTTTAATTCTTGGTGATTCTTACACATGCTAAACTTTGATAATTGCTGCTCCAGAAAATACACTTGAGCTGTTCTGTTTGCCAATCACTCGGCAGCCACTATCACTGTCTGAAACTCTGCTATGTACAAGGCGCCCCGAAGACAGGAGGACTGACAAAGCAGATCTTTGTCTCCTTGAGGAAAATCCCTTGTTTGTACCTAACATTGGGTCTGTTTTGTACCAAAACCAAACCAAATTTGGTGTTTGTCTAATTTGTTTCCTTTAACACTTTAAATCATTTCCCCTACATTAGAACAAAACTGGGATAAGCTACATTAACTCTCCTTAATGTTTTAAAATTTTAAGCATGTCAGAAAGCAACGAAGTCCTTGAGGGACTGAATGAGCAATAAAGAATGGGAATGCAGAGCAGGTACCACCCGCCTGGAAGGTTTGACCTTTCAGTTCTGCAGGACAGTGACAAGCCCAGCTGCTTCTCTGAACTGTGAAAGGTAGACACTTTCCCAGGACAAACTGGCGATCACGGCAGGGTGTTCAAACAGGACCAACAGCCGTCAGCAAGCGGTGCTGCACGTGGCAGGACAGACTCGTTTCCTGTTGTCTCCGTTCGGAAGCCTACCTCAGCACCTTCCAACACCACTCTGCACAAAGTCTGTTTCACAGCACTCAACACTAAAGTGTTTCCTATAATTTCAAATAAAGGTAATTTCCTCAACACAGAATGAGCTTTATGTTCATAGCCTTGCTTCCCCCCACCTCCAAACAGGACTTTTTTGAAATACAATAGCTTAATGGAGATATAAAATTGTATATTCTCAGTGGCAGTTTTTTTCTTGGAATAGTTCTTTATAACTTTCAATGTAATATCCTTCAAAAAAATGTAAGGTTTGTTAAATAAAGCTATTAGTTGTTTATTAGTAAATGTAATAAAGACAAATAGAGGAGAAAGCAGAGGGAGTAACTGACTTTGTACTAAAAACTCTGAAATGAAGCGATCATGTATGTCAAGGCAATCACCTCAAGGAAAATGTAAGAGGGGGTGCGGGGGTGCCAGCCCCACGGTGTACAAGCATGGGACTTCAGACCCTATTAAGACCTGTGAGTTTGGAAGGTGTATCTCAGGCCCACATTATGAGCAAGTCAAGTAGTCTTTTCATAGGAGTTATCTGGACTCATCTGTACTAAAAATACCACTGATATTCTTGGTTTGATATGAGAAAATGCACAGTTGTCTTCCTAGACTTTATTCAATCAAAACCCACATGTTTCTGGGAACCAGGCACCCAGGATGTATGAGATGTCTTTGGAAGAACAGTAAGAATTCTGAGGAAAGTAATAATAATTTATGGAAACATTTTTTTCCTGTTGATGTTTCCTTCACTTTTGATTATTTCTACTGATTCATTTTTTTTTCTTTCCAAGGGAAGCTGAAAAAAATGACATAACGGAGTATTTACTGTCTCCCAGCATCTGAAACTATGTCAAAGGCTTCCACGTACCTACATAAACTTTTCTACAGAATATTAATTTGTGATACTATTAGAAACTGAAAATATTTTTAGTATTTTTCAGGCTAGTATATTGTAGTATATCAGGGTACAATTATAGGACTCTAATGAAAATGCAGAATTTAGCATTTTGTATAATTTCTTGTAAGTTACCCTTCAAGCCTTACAAAATATGTATTACTTAAAAACCAGGAAAACAAGCACACAAGGCAGCTGAGACCTGAAGAGAGATACTAGGAATCTGAAATGCTATGTCAGCCACTAAAGTAGCTGCTGGTGTGCAACACCCCCGGCTGCCAGCATTCCTTCCCCACCTACAGAGGTCACCTCGAGACGTCCCCCTGCCCCGCCAAGGGGCACTCAGGACCTAACTGGATACACAGGATCGCACTGAACTGCCCCAAATGACAGAAACTGTTCTTCTCTTTAATTTCCTTACCTACAACCAGGTTGTAAAAGGGGATAAAGTAGCAGGTACATATAAAAGAAAAGAGATAACACCATTATTCTTCATTTCTTTATTGTTTCTCACAAACACAAATACTTACAATACATGTATTCTACTTCTCTGCACAGGAATTCTTAAACAGTAAGACCAAAGTACATAACATTCATGATATTAGTGCTGTAAAGAATGTAGAAACAGAAAAACTTACACTCTCAGGTATTGTTGGGAGGCCAGTTACATCAGGGGCAATGAAGTAGGAATGCTAATCAAGAGAAATAAATCACATAAGGAAAGGAGAATTAAAATTTGATAGCTCTGTATATAATTTGAGATAAAAATAAGAAAAATCTATCAACTAAGTTAACAAATAAAGACTGACACTCAGGATTTGTTGAATTTGAGAGATTAATGAAATAGCAGGTTTATATGAGATTTAGCAGTAACTTTTTTAGACTAAGAGTTAAATGGTGGTTAAAAATATTTAGTTTTAAAATTGAAGAATCCTGAAAAAACTTGAGGACTAAATGAGTATCTTACTGAAAAATACATTTATATTTAAAATACATTTAGTTTAGAAAGACTGGAAATATAAGGCTTGCTTTCCTAAGAATATATCAAAATCTACTGATTCCTGAATTTACCTGGTAAGTCACAACAAATTTCTCTTGTACATATTGGTCACTATATTATTTAGAGAGCAGCAATAAAACTTGACTTTTAAATACTTAAAACTTCTTAAAAATGTAATTGCTCATCCCAAAATATGACCGTTAGATACCCACTAAACAAATATCAGTCTTCTATAATAGAGCAATGCAATAGTTCACTGATATATTTATATAAAAAGCATATGTGTATATACCTATATGTTTTCATTATATTTGCAAATCTTACCACCTAGAATCAGAGTACAACCAAATCACCAACATTTTTCTTACTGTCTGTACATATTAATCTCCAAAATTATTTTACTATTTTGGTCACTTAAGGATGTATTTAATACTGTCTTATAATTAAAGGCTGGAAAAGAAACGTTCTCGACAGTATTGAGCACAGTTGAACTAGTCAGAACAAGGCTATTAACACAGTTATAACGTATATTTTCCAAGGTAAAAGAACAATATGAAATAAGGTTTCCTCAGACCTTGTGATAAAAAATGTGCCATGAATCTCATGCTGTTAATGCACTTTAACATTACTTCAACTAAACAGATGACATGCATAGATCTGGTTTCTCTTGGCTACTTGTATTTGGAGGGGTTTTTAATAGTACTGTATTTCATGACACTATCCTTTAAAAGGTAGTATAAATAATATACTCCATATGATTAATTTTCTTAAAAGAATAACATTGACCATTTCTGAAAGAACTGGGGTGACTCTTAAAATCATAGTGAAATAAGTGATCATTTTACCAATTCAGCAGTGACTTTTAGAAGCAAATGTCCTTTTAACTCACTGGTACCAGGAAGGCTGATCTTTCAGAACTTGTTCACTGCCAATAAATATCTCTTGGTTCTCATATAAGAAAAAATGAATATTTTACTTTCATAGGGTAAGTTTACACAATTTGCTGTGTGTCTGAGACTCACCTAGTAGCCACATTGTCCAATCCACTGAAAATAACATCAGTTATAAATGTTATTTTAAGTGCTGATTTGCTAATTTATGCTACAAAAATCTTAAAGTATTTTCATTCTCAACTCAGAGTAGAGAATGCTGTAGAATTCTCTATATGAGAATGTAATGATTTTGAAATACAGTTTCAAAATCAGTATTTACAATAGATACTAACTTCTCATAAAATCACTGTGATAGTCTCCTGGTTGTAATGCCAAGTCTTGAAAAACCTAACTAGCGCTGGAGTAGTCATGAAAGATGAAATTGTAAGAAAATTAGTACTTTCAGAAGACCTGTCATATTTTTCTAATAGAAATTCTGCAAACAAAAACTTTATTTCCGTTTGTGAAGGAACAAAAATTCCCATGATTATGAATTTAAATTTGCTTCATGAAGCTGAAACTTCTACTAGCAATTGAAGAGAAGGGTTTTAATTACAACTTTACCACTCTTTAACAGCATAGGACTGAGCACATTACTTTAGTAATCAGTTGTTGAAATCAAATGAAAGTACTAAGTGGACTTTATACAAAGTTAAGGCAATATTTTATCAACCAGCTGAATTTCTGAATTTACCAATAGTTAAGATACTATACTCAGTCAGACGTACAAGATTTGAAAGTTATTATAGACTACTGATTCAAAAGCTTACAAGAATCAGACTTAAATAACAGAAATAACTATCAGATGTGGATAGAGAACATAGTCAAATTCCTTTAACAAGATTATTTCAGCTACAATAAAAAATACCTTCTCCATATGAAGTGAAACATCAATTCACTAACAACTAACATGTGAATAGCTTTCTATGGGCTATCTACATACACCAATTCATGTGATTCCCCAAACAACTTTCCCAAATATTGACTCGCTTTATTTTTCAAATGGAGAAATGGGATTACCAATGTCTAACACTCAGTAACTGACTTAAGCCAAAATCTTCTGATCTTAGGTGTTGAGAAGCCTCACAGTCTTTAAGTTTCTGATTAATGAAGGTGAAATGTTTCAATATCCAGTATTTTTGAAATGGAATTTTATAAGATACTTATTTACTCCTGAACATATATGATGCCCAAATTTTAAGAAAGAATATATTTTTATTTTTCATTATTACTCTACAATAGCTGCCTCTGTTATAATCTTAGCACTTATATTTTCTTAGCCCTTAACAATGTGTTAGAATCATTTTATAAATACAACTCTATCAAAGAAAGACACTAATTTTCAGAAAAATCAGAACTTTTCTTCATTTTCTTGACATTCTTCCTCAGTCTTTACATTGATACTTCATTCCAACTAAACATAAACCTTGCATCCTTTTGGCTTCAATGACTTAAATCTGAATTTCCCTTTAGTTTCCCTTTCTAACTCTATCACTCCATCTGTTTTCTTTATCCATACAGCCTGTTTGGGTATTTAGAGCATACCTTTTATTTTTTATAAATATATATATACATATTTTTTATTAAGGTATTATTGATACACACTCTTACAAAGGTTTCACCTAAAAAACAATGTGGTTACTACATTCACCCATGTTATCATGTTCCCCCACACCCCATTGTAGTCACTGCCCAATACTACAGTAAGATGCCCCTCAGTCCCCTTCTCCCTCCCTCCCCACCCCTCCCCTTTAGTAACCGCTTCTCGGACTCTGTGAGTCTGTTGCTGTTTTGTTTCTTCAGTTTTGCTTTGTTATACTCTATAAATGAGGAAAATCATTTATACTTGTCTTTCTCCGCCCGGCTTATTTCACTGAGCATAATATCCTCCAGCTCCATCCATGTGATTGCTAATGGTAAGATTTGTTTTCTTATGGCTGAATAATATTCCATTGTGTATAAGTACCACATCTTCTTTAGCCATTCATCTACTGATGGACACTTAGGTTGCTCCCATATCTTGGCTACTGCAAATAGTGCTGCTATAAACATAGGGGTGCATATGTCTTTTTCAATCTGAGAAATTATATTCTTTGGGTAAATTCCTAGGAGTGGAATTCCCAGGTCAAATGGTATTTCTATTTTGAGTTTTTTGAGGAGCCTCCATATTGCTTTCCACAATGGTTGAACTAGCTTACATTCCCACCAGCAATGTAGGAGAGTTCCCCTTTCTCTGCATCCTTGCCAGCATTTGTTGTTCCTAGTCTTTGCTATGTTGGCCATCCTAACCGGCATGAGATGTTACCTCATTGTGGTTTTAATTTGCATTTCCCTGATAATTAGTGATGCAGCGCATCTTTTCAAGTGCCTGTTAGCCATCTCAATTTCTTCTTTACAGAAATGTATGTTCATATCTGCTGCCTATTTTTTAACCGGTTATTTGCTTTTTGGGCATTGAGGCATGTGAGTTCTTTACATATTTTGAATGTTAACCCCTTGTCAGATATGTCATTTACAAATATATTCTCCCATACTTAGGATGCTTTTTTGTTCGATTGATGGTGTCCTTTGCTGTACAGTAGCCTTTCAGTTTGATGTAGTTCCATGGGTTCATTTTTCCTTTTTTTTTCCCTTGCTTGAGGAGATGCATTCAGAAAAAAGTTGCTCATGTTTATATTCAGGAGATTTTTGCGTATGTTGTCTTCTAAGAGTTTTATGGTTCCATGATTTACATTCAGGTCTTCGATCCATTTCAAGTTTGCTTTTGTGTATGGGGATAGACAATAATCCAGTTTCATTCTTTTACATGTAGCTGTCCAGTTTTGCCAACACCAGCTGTTGAAGAGGCTGTCATTTCCCCACTGTATGTCCATGGCTTCTTTATCATATATTAATTGACCATACAAGGTTGAGTTTATATCAGGGCTCTCTAGTCTGTACCACTGGTCTGTGGGTCTGTTCTTGTGCCAGTACCAAATTGTCTTGATTACTGTGGCTTTGTAGTAGAGCTTGAAGTCGGGTAGCGTAATCCGCCCAGCTTTATTCTTCCTTCTCAGGATTTCTTTGGGTATTCGGGGTCTTTTGTGGTTTCATATGAATGTAAGAACTTTTTGCTCTCATTCATTGAAGAACGCTGTTGGCATTTTAATAGGGTTTGCACTGAAACTGTAGATTGCTTTAGGCAGGATGGCCATTTTGAGAATATTAATTCTTCCTATCCACGAGCATTGGATGTATTTCCATTTATTGGAAACCTCTTTAATTTCTCTCATGAGCGTCTTGTAGTTTTCAGAGTATAGATCTTTCACTTCCTTTGTTAAGTTTATTCCTAGGTATTTTATTCTTTTTGATGCAATTGTGAATGGAACTGTTTTCCTGACTTCTCTTTCTGCTAGTCCATCGTTACTGCATAGGAATGCAAAAGATTTCTGTGTGTTAATTTGTATCCTGCAACTTTGCTGAATTCAAATATTAGATCTAGTAGTTTTGGAGTGGATTCTTTAGGATTTTTATGTACAATATCATGTCATCTGCAAACAGTAACAGTTTAACTTCTTCTTTACTAATCTGGTTGCCTTTTATTTCTTTGTGTTGTCTGATTGCCATGGCTAGGACCTCCAGAACTATGTTGAATAGAAGTGGGGAGAGTGGGCATCCTTGTCTTGTTCCCAATCTTAAAGAAAAGGCTTCCAGCTTCTCACTGTTAAGTATGATGTTGGCTGTGGGTTTGTCATATAGGGCCTTTATTATGTTGAGGTTC